CTCTTTCTATTCCACATTATCAGATTTCCTTAAAATGTGGCATTTTTTCTTACTTTACTCCTAAAAACAGATATTATTGTAAAAAATTGAAAAATGAATATTTGTGACATTTTGTTGCCATGGTAACAGAATATTTTTTAAAAACTCATGGGTTTTATTTAATTTGATTAAAATTAAGAAAGTGCTCTTTCTATTCCACATTATCAGATTTCCTTAACATGTGGCATTTTTTACAGCTTTGCTCCTAAAAACAGTTATTATTGTGAAAAATTGAAAAATGAATTTTTGTGACATTTCGTTGCCATGGTAACAGAATATCTTTTAAAAACCCGTGGGTTTTATTTAATTTTATTGAAATTAAGAAAGTGCTCTTTCTATTCAACATTATCAGATTTCCTTAAAATGTGGCATTTTTTCTTACTATGCTCCTAAAAACAGTTATTATTTTGAAAAATGAATTTTTGTGACATTTTTTTGCCATGGTAACAGAATATTTTTAAAAAACCCATGGGTTTTATTTAATTTTATTAAAATTAAGAATGTGCTCTTTTTATCCCATGTTATCAGATTTCTTTAACGTGCAGGCCTTTTTCTTAATATGCTTCTAAAATATGTTGGATTTGAAGAAATATTGTGAAAAGTGAATTTTATGAAATGACCTATATTTAATTGAAATTCAGTACCTTTAATAAATCCTATATAATTTTATCCGTATGGTAATCATCTATCATTTTGTATGTACTTCTTAGGAAAAAAAGATTTATTTATGGTATTTTCATCGAAAAAGCTCTGTTCCTGTGTTCAATTATTGCTAAATTCATGTACGTTTATATGGTGCATTGTTTCCATGGCAACACAGGTTGACCAAAAAAATTATGCTGTCCAATGATGTTCCCTTGGTCCATGAAGCAACATATTAAAATTTTGTAAAAATCTGAATTGGTCATGAATCACCCCCTGCCTGGTTCTTACAAATAGCTGTACTTAAGTAGACTTTTCATGCTTTTGAATGACAACATAAACAAGCATTTTGAGAGTATCACAGAAGCAATACATGTCTCCTACCGGGTTTCCATTTTTCTTCAGGATGTCATTTCATGTTTACAAAAGTTCTGAACGAGTTAAAACAGCTTGATTTTGAAGTTCTGAATGCCTTTAACCTCGTTAAATAATCCACATGAAGATGAAAATCTATCTCCCTTTTTTATAACGTCTTTTCCTCGCGTCATATTTACCATGATCACTATCGGTGTTCAGCGCAGCACGAACCCGATTCGATCTCAAACCATTATGAAAAATTACAAAAAATGCAATAATTATGTGAAAAGTCAATAAAGCGAAATTCAAACTTGAGCCGTAGCGCATTAAGATGCACTCACATACCAAAATTCAGCTTAATATCTGCACCCGTTTAGGGAAAAAGTCCGGAAAACCAAGTAGAACAGACAGCTGGATAGACGGATGGACGGACATCTAGACAGCTAGATGAATGTCGGACAGACGCAGAGGTAACCTATAGTCCCTAAAAATTCACTACGCAAGTTTTAAGTATGGTTGATCAAGATCTTTTATATTATTCCTTATCATGTTTATAAGGTCATGTACCTGCTGATAATTTTCAGGATCTGCATATTTTCCATCTTTGTTGACAAATGTATTATCGAATGGAATCAGTCTGTCGTTACATTCTGAAATGAAGTTCTGTAATTTTCTAACGTTTTTTGCGGAATCAGCTAAAAATAACTTGAGGTCCACTTTTTTACTTTTTAAAATGTCGTTTCTAGTAAATAAAACTATCACAAACTGTTTAAAATCTTTGTCGACATTATCAAAAAGTTTTTCAATGTTATTTAAAACCTCAACATCAACATCATGGATTGCAGCCGGCTGCATTACAACGATGATGGCATGGAGACGCCCTTCACATAACTTCCACATCCTTTTCATTTGTTTTTTCATAGTTTTGTCTTTACGTCCAGTATCAACAAGACCGGTGGTGTCTATGACTATAGTCTTGAGATCATCTATGTCAACCTCTGCCTTAGAACATTTATTAGTAACAGAGGCAGCAGAGAGTTTAGCTTCGAATTCATATCTATTTAGAATAGTATTGCCAGTTGAACTCTTTCCGTTTCCTGTTTTTCCGAGAAGTAAAATTCTTATTTCTTCGGATAAAGGCTGCTTTTCGTCTACATGATTTGGTGCTGAATCTGTAAAAACAAATATGTTCTAGGAGATATAATGCATCAATAAGCAATAAAAACGTATATTTATACTTAATTTCGTATCTGAAACTCATAAATATGTTTATTAAATTTTGAAACGATCTTAAGAATTCCTCAGATGTTTCGAGAGTGACACCAATTTAACAAATTTTGCAGTTTTAAGTACACCCCTGGGGAGAAGTATGCCTATAGTGATAGGGCTGTGCGTCCTTCCGTGCGTCAGTCTACGTGTCCGTAACACTTTTGTGTTTCTATCTCTTATCTAAAACTACTCCTATACCTCTGATTAATACAATATAATAAGACTTTCACATAATCTTATTTCATTATGCATCTGTTCTCTAACATTTTGATGGATAACATAACATGTGGTTTCCCATAACAAATTCACTGATACTGTCAACATTTTTCATAATATTGTACCACTAAGAAATAAAATTAGGTTTTTACAGAATCATTATTGCATTTTTTTATGTTTTGAGTGGAATTTCGGGTTGCCGTCAGCAAAATTATACTAATATGGGAGTGCATATGAAGGTATACATTTTTTTAGTCCATGTTTCACAGTACCTCTAATTTAAAACACATCCTTACACAAGAAAGACGACAAAAGTGCGATGAAAAGACCTGTGTGGTTTAAAATAAACGTAAAGGCTGTTCGGAAAATTTATTGGATCATTATTACTTATTGCATCTTGAATGGATTCTCAGGGGTTTCATCTAAAGAAGATGTATATAATATTGCCCCCTTCCAATATATTTTGTTAGTTTGACTTCCTATGAAGGAAATATGTCTTAGGAAAGCCAAAGAAACAACCTTTTTATTTCTGGTAGTTAAATTTTCTTGCAGTAAACCATTGTTTTGCAATATAATTATAAAGGCCGCTGTTTATGGTATCTAACTCTTTACATTGTTATAACCAGACGCCTGAGAAGTTCAGGCGTGTATTTTGTATAGGTTCTTAAACAGAATAACCCAAAATCTACAATTACTGGTTGTTGAGGAGATTTAACAAAAGTTTCTTATAATTCATTTTATGATTTGATACCCTATTATGGCACCACCTTACCCAATGAGATCATTTCTTAAACCACCTTAAATTAACACTATGTGATAAAGTTTCACATAGTTAACTTAAAGATATTTGTAGAGGTCATGTATGATAATTATACCCCGAGAGTATGTTCAACAAATCAGGCGAATGTTTAGTGAATTGTTTTCAAATTATTAAAAAATTTATGTTATCAAACCACCGTATAAGTAGAATTTTTAGCAAGGATTTAATTTTGGCATTACTAGCGAGGGTGATGAGATCGCTAAAATTGAATATCGCTAAAAATTTAATGTGTTTTATTAGTAATAGCTTCTTTAATGTGCATTTTAAAATCGCTAAAATAACATCTCGCTAAAAATTAATTACTAGTTTTTAAGGGCAAATCGCTCAATTCGCGTCTCGTAAAAATTTCCATTTATACGGTAATTTATATTGCATACTCTGAAGACTGTCTTGTATTTGCTACATGTGAGGAATTTAAGTGAATGTGACATTAGTGTCAAATCTTGAAAAGACATCTGGTAGCGTCATTCTACATCATTTTGAATAATTAAATGTAAATCAACGTTATTGTTAATACACTTATTTTATTTACATTTCTCAAAAGGAAATAGTTCTAGCTGCAGTATGAATCAGACAGAATAAATAAACCCCCCAAAAGCTACACAAAAAATGTATATACAGTCAAACCTGTATTAAGAGACCTTCCAATGGAGAAAGGAAAAAAGGTCACATATGACAGGTGATCTCTTAATACAGGTTGCTTACTTTCCGCAGTGTTCAAATGTACAATTCAGTACACGTAGTATGCATTCATCACGTGACTGTCCATTGATGGGATTAAACTTCATACAGTACAGAGTGGGTAATACTATGCTATTTCCATAGGTATTAACGTTCTTTGATAATAAAACAGCTTAATTGAAATAAATTTAATTTAAATTAATATCCCCCTTTTTGCACATATATTTTCCGTTGATTTTTCATAGTAGGCCTTAACAGTGCTGCGAATTGCTTCGTTATGAACCGGACCGTGAGACGGGACCCTTACGGGACAGAGGAAATTACACGCGACTCGCAGATTGTGAATTCTGAAGATGTGAACCCTGAAGACATTGACTTTGAATCAGTAGCTTCAAACATTTTAAGTGAAGTACCCAAACATTTCACTGATCAGCATGTACATGTGAGACTTGAAAAGGGAAATTTGTGATTTGGTTGTATATATAAGTTGTAAATAATTGTGAAATATTTAATCTAAATATGACAACTTGTCATGTTTATATTATTTCAAGACTGGAGAACTGTTTTGTTTTCCGCTATGTTTTATTATTTCATTGTTATTATTTTTTTTTCATGATTATTTTTGTGTTTATTATCTTGTTTAACTATGTAGATTGAAGATTCTGTAAATTTTCTTTGTTGTAGATAGTCAGTTCTTTTGAACGGAGTCAAAAACTTAAGTGGGGGGAAGTTGTAACGGTCTTTAATTATTTCATTATGTTGTTTATATTTGATTCCGTTATTATATAATTATAGATACCGGTAGTCTTTGTTTACGTACCATTGCCCCTCGCAAGCAATGGTCAACTATTAGAAAAAGACCAAAACGCATTGCTCCTCGCGAGCAATGGCCTAAAGATATACGAGGGGTATTTGAAAAGTAATGAATATTTATTCGCTGTATTTTATTCAACAAAAATATCACAGATTCAGCTTATCACAGTCCTTCAAAATATTCTCCTTTTACTTCTACACATTTTTTCAGTCTTTGAATCCATTTCTGAAAAGCCGATTTATAGGCCGATTTAGGGATACCCTTCAGACACTGGTATAGCGCACTGCCTACAGCCTGGCGGCTTTCAAATCGTCGTCCTCTTAAGGCATCCTTGATGAGTGGATTCAGCCAAAAGTCACATGGGGATAGATCAGGGCTGTATGGAGGATGTGGTAAAGTTTTAATGTTCATCTCTGTCAAATATTCGGTAACAATCGAGGCTTTATGGGCTGGTGCGTTGTCATGGAGTAAATGTATACCACGGGTTCCAGTGCGAGGGCGGGTCTCTTTATAATGTGACACAACTTTGGTTAACACCTTTTCTTTGTAGAATTTAGCAGTGACACTGGTAGACTCTGGGACAGGAATTTGTACGACGGGTCCCTTCGAATCAAAGAAAATAGCGTACATAATCTTTCGCACTGTGCGGCTACGACGTGCAATTTGTGGCCTGTCCTTGACGTCAGTCACCCAAACTTTATTATTTCGCTTTATTTCTGGTTCGAAAAAGAAAATCCACGTTTCGTCACCAGTTACAATTTCGTTTAAACGCCTGAAATCGCAATGTTCATATTTCTCTAATAACTGTCGACAAATTTCTACCCGTACCCTCTTCTGCTCATTTGTCAGAATATGGGGGACCCATCGAGCACACACTTTTTTCAACATTAGTCTGTGTTTTAATATTTCAAACACTGCTGACGAATTGATCCCAGTGAAAGATGAAATGTCATTAACGGTGTATCTTGCATCAGTTTCAATGATCTGTTTCACAGTGTCAATTTCATTTTTGGTGATGGCAGTTGCAGGTCTTCCACTACGAGGGTCATCTGCAAGCGTCTGCCGACCGTCTTGAAATCGACGTACCCATCTCAGAACAGTTGGATAGGATAGAGCAGAAGGTCCATAAACTTTGTTCAAATCGGCTTTAATTTCTGTTGGGTTATAACCGAGAAGCGCCCTTGCTTTACAGTATGCCCTTTGCTCTAAATGATCAGGGACTTTACTTGCCATTATGTCGTGCTATAGTGTCGCAGACGTCGTTTACGTCACATGTCAAGATCTCGCGTTCGCGTTATTTTAAAAATTTAAATTATTCACATTTTGTAGAAAATTGATCAAATTTTTATTTTTTTCAATCAATTTTCCTGAAAAACGATGTTAAATAGTTTTTATTATTTAATGTTCATTAATTTCCAAATGCCCCTCGTATATAGGGGGGATGTTCTCAGACACAACACTTGCTCAGAATCTGTACTTATGTAAACATTGGATTATATTATACTGGGATTATATGTGTGTGATTATTAGATGTTATTGTGATTTTATTATGATGTGTAAAAAGTGTAAATAAACTTTTAAACGTACTTTGCGTATTTCATTCAGAGGATTGAAAATGAAGAGTTATCGCTCTTTGAACGCTACGGCGACGTTACACCATCAATTGTCTTCCGGGATATATATAAAGTAAACCATGAAAATAAGTCTTGATCAAACTGCTTTCATACGTGTGAAAAGTCTTGCGTCTAAATGATGGAGACAAGAGTGGCGAATATTTTGAAAACTCATAGTCGGATAAAAAATAAAACAAAAACGGTACCATTTTAAACTTGATCAATTCCTCAAGTAAATGTTGGCTGCATGAAATATAAATTGAAGTTTAACACATGCACCAACTATACTCAAAAATGTATTTTCAATTTTCGACTATAAAAAACGAACTGTGCAGAGTACGCTTTTTGCGAGAAGTAAAATTTGATCTTTTAAAAAAAAGGACATCTCATTTTTTCCATAGTAAATGGTAAGCAACTTTATATATTAAATATGAAAAACATATATATTTTTACAGATTCACTTTATGGAAGTAAATATATTATGTTTCTCCTAATTTGTAAAGAAACGAACATTCTGATAAACAATCTTTTCAATGTTTAGAAAACCTTTAATTCTGAATAACTACTCCCGCCCTAATCCCCATACACCAACATTTAAACCTGTATGTATAGAGCAGCCCGGTCATCCGGGCTGCAATAAATTTTACCTGGTCAAAGGACACTCAAGGTCACCGATAGGTCAGATAGAAGTTAAAGAGTAGAAAAATAGGGATTAGTGTTCTTATTTAGTAATACTTCATTCTTTCCTATCTTTCTCAACTTTTTTTAATAATTAGCTTTATATCACTGCTTTTAAAGGAAAACACACGTCTCATTCTGTGTCAATCTCACCGGGTACTGGGAGTCATCCAAGGCCATCGATCTTTGAAATAGTTGCCTGTAACAACTGTGTGTTCAAATTCATTTGTACTTGCAGTTCCTCAACTCTGAGTAGTTCACAATTTTCTTTTCTGATGCTAAAAACAAGATTAGAGTTTAAAACACACAACAAAGTAGTTTGAAATGTACATTTGATATATTTAAGGAAAAAAATGTGCTGAAGCATTTTAAATACCTGATGTCATTGTGATACAATACTGTACAATTAGTTTTTACTTTTTGTTGGTTTTGAAGTCAAAGTCTGACTTGAAGGAGTTGGAAGACTTGTCAGACTTGGTTGGGCAATTTTTTTTTAAATCTTTCGAGGAGCATTTCTTATTTGTTGTCGGTGGTGATCCTTATCTTGTTGTTTATCACACTCCACTTAATCTGATGATTAAAGACGGCTTGGTCTATTAGGAAAATACTAATTTATTAATTGTTAAAATAATTAAGAAATAAATAACAAGTTTATAAACTTCATTGGGAATTGAAGTGGGTCGGTCACGTGATCAGATCATGTAAAGGCCGAAGGCCTTCTCAGAAGATTTGATCACGTACCATCCTACTTCAATTCCCACTGAAGTTTAAAAATTTGTTATTTATAACTTATATATACATTTTAGACAGATGATTGAATATTTTCGAATATAAATTATTGCACTTACCGTCCGTCGTAGATTTTGAAAAATGACGCAAGGTGTAAATCGGCTTGAATGGCGGTTACGCTTCCTATTCATTAGGCTAAGGATTTTATTTCTAAGGGAATATTTTATGGAAGGCCCTTTGTCACCCCTACTAATGTGTTCGGATGATATTCTTTATCGCTGTTAAGTGTAGCGTAAAATCCGAGTGGTCGATTTGACCTCTAACGAGACCAGCCTCGAGACCCTGCGAGATCTGCACCAGTTCCTGTAAGATTTAGACAGAAAGTAGATGTGTGTTTTGTGATTTATGCATTTAATGTAAGTTCATTTTATTTGCCTTCATTCACTGGAACATTTTTTGCACATAAAACTTGATTCAATTAGTCTTTATTTCTCGAATTCTATCACCTCAAACACATGAAACGAGAAACATTAAATCATGTATATTTAGAGTTATCGTCCTTTGTTTACATGCCTCCACGTTGTTGGAAAAATAAAAATCTTTTGGTGCTATAAAAAATATAACGGGCTTGTCAGTGTTTTTCAATTATTATACTAATTTATTTATGTTGTTCTTGGTGTTGTGAAATATTTTACCCCAGTATTAAAAGAGGTGAAAATGATTCAATGTGCAGAAAATGTTATAGTCTGTTTTACTTCTTACAATAACAGTTACACAATTTCTTAGTTACTTGCATGCAATATACATGTTATAAACGTGGAAGTGCTTAAATAAATGAATATAGAATGAATGTGTCATTCAAAGATTAGAAATGGTAAATGACAATGTAAACAACCCTCAAGTGATCAGCTGGTGATAATTATTCAGGCGCGGATCTAGAAATTTTTCAAGGGGGGGGGGGTAATGAAGGAAAGAGTTTATATAACTTACATTTTACATAAACATGTACATGTAGTTAAATAACTCAGTAGGATACAGGTTTTTTAAATTGGTAGGTGGATCAACCTGTGAAAAAAATACTTGTACAGGGGATGACAAATCCCATTGCCTGACGCCTGGGGCTAGTGATTTTAGGGGTGGGCATGTAAAATTTTATCAACCACTTGCCCATGGGCAAGTGACTTATCAAAAATAGAATTTATTTGAAGGCCAAAAATTTAAAGCTGGGCATAGTGTCTTGCATGATTTACTCAGCATTTGTCTTCCTCTTTTTTGAAAGATCTAAAAATACAGAATTTGTTAATGGTAGGGCAAGCAAAAATTAAGGTAGGGCAAGTCAATTTTGACCATGTACTTGCCTTTGGACAAGTGCCTTAAAATCTATTTGTCAGCCCCTGCTTGTACCTACAGATTACCTGAATTTCTTTGAAAAAGTGAAAAATAAATCTCGTAAAGAAGATGGTGGTAAACGGACAGAGTCCGGTGACAAGATTCGTATAGAAGATGGGGGTAAACAGACAGTGTCCGGTGACAAGATTCGTATAGAAGATGGTGGTAAACGGTCAGTGTCCGGTGAAAAGACATGTAGAGAAGAGGGTGGTAAACGGACAGTGTCCGGTGACAAGACTTGTAGAGATGATGGTGGTAAACGGACAGTGTCCGGTGACAAGACTTATATTGAAGATGGTGGTGAACAGAGAGTGTCCGGTGACAAGACGTGTAGAGAAGATGGTGGAAAATGGACAGTGTCCAGTGACAAGATTCGTATAGAAGATGGGGGTAAACGGAGTGTCCGGTGACAAGACTTGTAGAGAAGATGGTGGTAAACGGACAGTGTCCGGTGACAAGACTTGTAGAGAAGATGGTGGTAAATCGACAGTGTCCGGTGACAAGACGTGTAGAGAAGATGGTGGTGAACAGAGAGTGTCCGGTGACAAGATTCTGAAAGAAGATGGTGACATTCTTCAGTGACAAAACTCGTAAAGAAGATGATGGTAAACGGACAGAGTCCGGTGACAAGATTCGTATAGAAGATGGGGGTAAACAGACAGTGTCCGGTGACAAGATTCGTATAGAAGATGGTGGTAAACGGTCAGTGTCCGGTGAAAAGACGTGTAGAGAAGAGGGTGGTAAACGGACAGTGTCCGGTGACAAGACTTGTAGAGATGATGGTGGTAAACGGACAGTGTCCGGTGACAAGACTTGTATTGAAGATGGTGGTGAACAGAGAGTGTCCGATGACAAGACTTGTAAAGAAGATGGTGGTAAACGGACAGTGTCCGGTGACAAGACTTGTAAAGAAGATGGTGGTAAACCGATAGTGTCCGGTGACAAGACGTGTAGAGAAGATGGTGGTAAATGGACAATGTCCAGTGACAAGACGTGTAGAGAAGATGGTGGTAAATGGACAATGTCCAGTGACAAGACTTGTAGAGAAGATGGTGGTAAACGGACAGTGTCCGGTGACAAGACGTGTAGAGAAGATGGTGGTAAATGGACAATGTCCAGTGACAAGACGTGTAGAGAAGATGGTGGTAAATGGACAATGTCCAGTGACAAGACTTGTAGAGAAGATGGTGGTGAACAGACAGTGTCCAGTGACAAGACTTGTAAAGTTAATGAGGATCTTCTCTTTTTTAATGAGCTGGCTACAAGTACTGTGGGACAAGATGTTGAAAATTCATTTGTCATTGAAGAGCTAAACAAGAAGGATTTGGAAATTCTGAATTCAATACTAGCGCTTGATGATATAAGTTCTTGCAGCTCTTTATCTGATGACCCTTTGTACATCCCATGTGAAGATGAACATGATGATTATGATACAGACAATTCTCACAAAAATTCGATCCTAAAAAAGAGAAATAGAAAAAGATCCCGGACAGTAAAACAGAAGCAAAATTTAAACAATGATGTATTTAAGGACAAGCAACCATGCAACAGTCTTAAAGACCCTTATGTCCCATCAGTAGATCATAATGATTCAGATGTGTTGATTCCCAACAAAAAGCAGGAAAAAAAAATCATGACATCTACCCAGAAAGAAAACTTATGTAACGATTCTCAGGATGAGCAACTTTCCAGGGGAACTGCAGACTGTAAGGAGACAAGCAAGAAAATAAAAAGAAAAAATTTCCAAGTGGTAGCAAAGCAAAAAGTGATTATTAAGGAAGTTATCAGTGACAGTTTGTCTTCAGGAGGTGAGATGAGTGATGTTTATCCACTTTTGAAAGTTCAAAAAGGGACTGAGTCAATTATAGATGAAGAAGCACTTGACTCCAATTTTGTAAACAATGTCAACACAGGAGAAAAGGAGAAGTCGGACGGGTCATCTGAAGAGGACCAATGTGAAGGAATGATTTAGACATCTTTGTTAGAGAACTTTCGAAAACAAACATTTATGATCAAGTACATGCGTGTGCTTACTGCAAGAACTGTTGTCACCAATATCTCTAAACACATGAAACAGGTTCACAAAAATGAACTGCAAGTAAGAGAAATAATGGAGTGCACAGAAACGAGAAGGAATAAACAGATTCTTTGGGACATTCTTCGAAACAGGGGTGACAACAGCCACAATGAACAAGTTGTAACAGAAGGAAAAGGTGAGATAATTTTGGGAAGAAGACAACATAAACAAATAAAACTTGAGGACTATGAACCGTGTCCAGGATGCCTACAATGGCTAAAGCATGATATCACAATGTATAAGCACCAGAAGATCTGCCCAGCAAAAATCGACGATAGAACTAGTAGTAAGGGAGAGTTACGTGTTCAGAGTATGTACCTCAGTGGAAGGTTGCAGAACAAAGCCAGCAAAGGTTTGATAAATGAAGTCTTTCCCATTATGACAAATGACATTATATCCAAAATTGCTCAAACAGATCCACTCATCATGTGTCTCGGGAATACTTGGCTATCAAGAAACATTGGGAATAAATTAAAGAGGAAGTATTACACTTCATCCAGGATGAGGGAAGCAGCCCGACTATTAGCGAATACACGAGAGTTGCTGAATTCGAATTTATCCATGTCGGATTTGCTTCGACCTGAACATTTTGATATAATGTGGCTAAGGGTGCATTGATAACAGCCTCGCCTGGTTTTGATTCGGAGGAAGATTTGCAAGCCCCATCAACAGCCATTAGGCTTGGATATGAAATTAAACAAATGTTGAGTGCTAAATGGGCGGAGGGAATAAAAAGTAAAGATGAGCAGGCAGCCAATGACAGTAAGTCATTCCTGAAGTTTATGAAGTTTGAATGGTCCATAAAAGTTACAAAACTAGCAATAGTCACACTTCAGATTCGTAGCTTCAGCAAGGAAAAATGTCTCCCTGAGCCAGAGGACATTATTAAGATTCAAGAAAAGATTCGTAATGACATCAAAAACTTTGATGAAAAGGACACAACACCACAGAACTTCCGATTTGCTGCAGAAGTCTCTCAGGCTAGATTGTTGCTGTATAACAAACGTCGATCTGATGAAATAGAGGGCATCAGGTATGTACAACTTTACTTCCTGGTTTATAATTTTATAGAAATATAAGGTCAAGGTTTATTATTTTTATCGAATATTGAAATATGAAAAGGAGAAAAATTATGCACTATGCATTAAACATTGTACAAAATGAAATGTTCTTGTAAAGCTAAGGTTATTTTTTTTTCAAACAGGGTTAAGGACTATGTTAGAAGGCAGCAAAGTGTTACAAATGTGGAGAGGTCAATGAGAGCAGAACTCTCAGCACTAGAACAAAAACTACTGGAATCTCAAGATCAGATAGAAGTTCGTGGCAAGGTATATATATATGATCAATAGAGAATTAAAGGCATACATTCTGGTAGATTACTAGAATATTACTAAATTTAAATTTCATATAATTAATTAGGAATTTTTATTGTTAACATATTGTTCTAACATCTTGGAAAATTACGCAATACGAAAGGTAGTGTCATCAACCCCAATGCATGGTCTCAAACACAGAAAAGAGCTGTTCAAGCATCTAGCTGGCATTTCAGACATTTCATCTGCAGAATCTGGAAAAACATCTGATCAGTAAGCTTGATATACTGTAAACATATTACATTTAGTGGTGTTCTCTTTTTAGCAATTTTGACCAATTTAAAGCAGAGTACACTAATACAAGTGCATCACTAAATGTCTTGTACATTAACTTTTATAACTAGAAAAGTCAGACAGTGCTAAATCAAATCTACGCTAACTTCTTGAAAATTAAATTTCTCCCAAATATTGTACATGCTAAATTTAATACAATTACAGTACATGTATATATGCCACATGTATTTGATATTAAATGTCAAGATTAAGTTTACCCATGAGTGTGTTAAAAGTTTTAAAAATGTAACGTGAAGCAGTCACCCATCCAAGGGTTAAACAGGCATGCCGTTGCTTAACTTGCCTGAAATAGAGGGAGACTCTACCGCATCACCAGAAAAGCTAGCTCACTAGCGAGGCAGTATAGGTTCCCTATATACTGTCCGCTACAAAACCTCCAATCTACTCTGTTCTGTTAAGAGCCTGAATGTTTCATTACACAGAACATATAAATTAATGCAGAATTCAATATCATATCTGTTTTCATTTTCAGGGCAATGTCAGGAATAGAGGAAATGGAGCCAGGACCATCAAGGAGTGAGATTACTTGCCCCAGACCACCAGACAGGTAAGTTAAGTAAATGATGAGCTTTTTATATTATCAGTAAATATCAAGACCAATTAAATTTAGTAGCTGTTATATTTTTTTCTGACTGATCAGCTTACAATCTTTTAAAATGAAACCAAAAGTTGTATAGATCATGATTTAATGGAAATGTTCAAAGCATTTAGGTTCATGATATAGCTAAACAACAGAAAATAAATGAAATTTCCATTTTAATTATTGTACAATTACATAAAATTCTGACCTATTTTCAGCAGAAAGGCAAAGGGATCAAAATACTCAGCATCATATTTGGATCCTTTGGAGTAAGAACTTTTATTTATATATTTTCATTTCTTTCTGACTTATGGAATAGAAGGAAAGCTGGTCTATGAAGTAAATCTGTCTACCTGAACCAACATTTATTTGAGCTTTTATTATTATTTTTAGGGGTATTTGGATTTCAAATTATTTTAATTACTTACACAATTTTTAAGCTCTTTATAGTTTACAACACCTTTTGTTTTTTCACAGAACATTTTCATTACCTTCTGACTTTTAATATAATACTCATTTTCATTGATTTCAGAATAAGTATTGACATACCTGAAGAATCCGAAGACCTGGAGGAAAGTGATGATGAGTCATATCAACCAAGCTTCAGCATATCAATTGGGTATGGTTTATTAACAATAACAAGGAGTTGAATAAAGTCAAAATTGAGATGTGGTATATTGTAAAAGCCTGCAAAAAATGTTTGATGATGTCCACTGAAGTCACAGATTCTGTCTAACTGCTTTAACATCATTTCTGGCTAAATTTCTATTCTTAGGTAGACTTGTCAATAGAGATGCATAGGTGGATACTTTTTGACTTTCTTTTAATTGTAGACCAAAAGACATTACTGGAATTGAGGACTGCCCTGGAGTGGAGTCTGTGTTTCCAACTGTGGAGGAAGTTGAAGAGGAAGAGGAGGAGGAAGCTGGTCCCTCTATATGTAGAGTGTTAACAGAAGAAGACTTGGAGCACCTGACAGAGAACAAGACTGCTCTTGTGTACCTACCTCAGTTAAAAATATTAGCCAACAAAAAGGTGGACTCTGTCTGTAAAGTGAAAGGATGTGGAGAGGGCATACAAATATCC